AATGAATTGTAGCAGTTCTATATAGAACCTGGATATTAATGCCATATCTGACTCGTAATTCCCATGTATTTTCTCCTGTAGGTTGTATTTCCACTTACTTGTTTCCTTTGATGTGCAGTCTTTTTTTTTTTTAAGATTTATTTATGTGTAGAAGAATTGACTGTAGGTCAGAGTTGGGGGATGGAAGGAGAGGATTCATCAGAGACACAGTGGGAGCAGTATAGGCAAATTTACTGAAATACAATGCTGAGGGGAGAAGTGGGGTGAGACAGGTGAGGTCTGCTGCCCCATATGTGGGTCACCTTCCTGTTTGGGGATAAAGCTCAGGCCTTAACATTGATAGTACTGACTCTAACCCCTAGGCCACCAAGTAGGCCTATGCAGAAGTCTTTAAGTTTGATGGACTCTGTTTATTTTGCTCCTGTGTCTTTGCCTTTGTTATATTGTACTTACTCCAATGTCATGAAGCTTTCTCCCTTTGTTTTCTTCTAGGAGCTTTATAGTTTCAGATCTGGGGGTTAGCAGTTTTGTTTTATTATGTACTTATGGTTTCATGGAGTTTATGGACTAGTTTTATACATACAGTAAGCACTGAATTAAATAAATGAGTAAATTAAGTATACTGCCCTAGGGGTCCTATAAAATACCACACATAAAGTTCCTGAAGAAAGATCTTAGGTCAGGCTATATAAAGTACAAAGAAAGATAATATCGTTTTCTTTGTTTCCCAGTGTTTATCTGACCAAAACCAAACCAAAAAAGGTTGGCATCGCCAGCCACAAAGTAGGGTTTAGGGGGAAAGTACATTTGGTGGAGACAGAAAACAGAGCTGGCCTTTGTTATGGGAAGCAGAGCCTGGTGAAGTATTAGGGTGTGGGTCAGGGGGAAAACATTTAAAATACTTATGAGGAAATATGAAAGAAGCATTTCCAAGACTCCCATTTGGCAAGTGTGATCCACTCTACCAGAGAAATAGCCTGAAAATAAATAGTCTAAAATCAAGGCAGGTTCCAGGATGGAAGGAGCACATTCTCTGCCACACAGAGTGGTGCACTCTTGCTGGAATTGGTGAAGGTAGCAAGGGGGACAGTGAGAAGAGCAAGTAACACAACTGTACTTAATGGGGCTTTTCTGCTGTCGCTGTAATTGCCTGATTTCATGGGGCCTGTGTTCTTCTTGCCCCCTGCTGGAACACAGAGACTTTCTCAGGAGAAACAGCTGCTTTGAAAAGCATGAGGCAGGAGTACAGCATCTCCATTAGAGAGCTGTTTAGCACAGGTGGGTCACTTGGGGCCAAGGCTGGCGGGCCTCAGGGGTAGGAAGAGGCTTCCTGGATTCGGGGCTTCTTCCCCTCACCTCCAGTTTTCCTCCAGGTTCTGCCTTTAGAATCATGTGGACAGAGATCCAAATAGATTGGGGCTAGCTCCCAGAGACTATGTTCAGCTCATGGATCCCAACCTCACACCAGTGGCCACTGCTTACTCTCAGGGATCTCAGCAATTTTAATATTTGCAAATAGTCTGACATTTCAATTACTTATATAATTTATGTTCATTTTCTTTAATTTAAAAATATTTATATTTGCATAGAATTGGGGTATAGGCCAGAGCTGCAGGGGGTGAGAGTTTTCACCAGACATAGAGTGGGGAGCAGAATAGGTGGATCCACTGAAATGCATTGCTGAGGGGAGCAGCAGACCCAACAAGAGAGGTCTGCTGTGCCATGTGGTCAGCTCCCTGGCTGGCAGTGGAAATCAGGTTCATGAGTGGGCCTTCAAGGAGGTAGTGCTGAAACTTAACCTGTAGGCCACCAGGGAGGCCTGCTATCATCTTTATTATATTTTCCTTTCCATTTCCTGGCTTAAAGTGGGAGCTGAATTTTTTTTTTTTAATTAAAATTTTTCTTTTTTGGTGTTCAGTTAAAGCTATAACTTTCCCCTAAGGACTGTCTTAGCTGCCATTTCAGCTAGCTAAAACTAGTTTGCTGTAAGAAAGCACCATAGACTGTGTGTCTTAAACAACAGAAATTTACTTTCTCACAATTCTGGAGGTTAGAAGTTAAAGGTCAAGGTGTTGGTTTCCTTCTGAGGCCTCTTTCTTTGGCATGCAGATGACCATCCTCCCTGTATTTCTGTGATCTTCCTTTGGTCTTGTGTCCAAATTTCCTTTTGTGAGGACAGGTTATACTGGATTAGGGTCTGCACTAATGTCTTTTAAGTTAATTACCTCTTTGGAGACCACACCTACAGGTACAGTCATATTCTAAAGTAATGACTTTTGAATTCAAAATTTGAATTTGATGGGGGACACACTACAGCCCTTAATAGTTCAGGTTTGAGTTAGTTGTGATATGCTTCAAGCACGTGTGTGTGCATGGTTTGTTTTCTAGTTCTGACTATTCATGTCCTTTGGCCTTTTTTTTTTTTTTTTCTTTCTTTCAGACCACTGGAGCTGAATTTCTAATTATGGGGAAATTTGTAAATATCTTGCTGTTAACTGGTTTTTACGTTATTTCAATCATGGGTGAAGAATATGCTCTTAAAATTTTAGTCCTCTGAAATTGCTTTTTTGTGTGTCTTGGAATTTTATTTACCTTGGTATGTAGTCTGTATATCTTTTTATGTATAAAGCATTATATAAGTTCAGTTAGATCAATAATATCTGATAGTAGTTTTCAGTTCTTCCATTTCCTTACTATCAGTTTGTTTTCTTTTACCAAGAGGGGCTTATTAAATTTTCTTGACTATGATTCACATTCTAATTCTCTTTTCCAGGTTCTAATTCTCTTTTCCAGGCTGTCACATTTCTTTATGCAGTTTCTCCCAGTCTGTGGCTTGATTTAAAAAAAAAAAAAATCATTTTTTTTGTATCATTTTGTGGCTTTTTCCATCTCAGTTATATGTGGCTTGATTTTTTTAATATTCTTACTAGTCTTTTGTAGAGGGGACATTTTTAATCATAACAGAACACAACTCCATACTTTTTTCTTGGATTGTGCTTTTGGTGTTATATCTAAAATGACAAACCCAATGACACTTTAATTTTCTCCCATGTTCTAGGATTTTCATATTTCGCTTTCAGGTAGATGATCCATTTTGAGTTAATTTTTTGTGAAAGGTGTAAGATTTGTGTCTAGATTTGGGGGGGGGGGTAGGGGCTTGGGCAGAATGTTGTTCCTGATCATTCTCCTTCATTGACTTTCTTTTACTTATCAAATATCGGTTGATTCTATTTGTGTGGATTTGTCTCTGTTTTCTGTTCTGCATTGGTCTATTTGTATTTTTTAAAATTTGTTCTTAGCTAGTGTTATACTTTCTTAATTATCATAGCTTTATAGTAAATGGTAAAGTCTGGTTGTATCAATTTGAACTTGTTCTTGTATTGGCTCTCTCCTGGGTCTTTTGTCTTTCCATATGAACTTTAAAATAGGTTTGTTAATAGCCTCAAAGTATCAAATGTATCCCCATTTGTTTAGATATTTGGTTGTTTTCCAGCAGAGTTTTGTAGTTTTCCTCATATAGATCTTACACATTTTTTAGACTTGTACCTAAATGTCTAAATAAGGTTCAAACATTGTGTTTGATCTATACATCTCTTTTGTCTTCTTTTATTCCATAAGAATTCCTCTTTTTTATGCTATTAACTTGTTGAAGGCTTTGCATTTAAAAAAATAAATAAATTGCATTTTCTGCAATATATAATTTTTACAGTATAATGTAGTGTTTAATTTTGAATTCCAGTGCTCATTTCTGGCACATTTGGAAAACAGTGTGATTTTTCTGTATTGGTCTTGTGTCCTTCAGCCTTGCTAATAATCACATGTTGATTCTTCCAGAAACTTCTTACTGATTCTTTGGGATTTTCTCCTAGACAGACAGAGACCGCCCTGGCAGTATTTTACTGAGAGTTTGATTCCAAACCAGTCTTTTACCAAATAGTTGTCTAGCCACATTACTGGTGTGTTCTCAATTTTGCAAACAGTTCCTGCCTTTAATGTCTTGCCTAGAAATCTCCTCAGCTAACCACCATCACAAGTTCTGTCTTCTGTAAAACACTGGTACACAGTTTGGCCAAGTTCTTTGCCAGTTTATGAAAAAGATTACTGTTCCTCCAGTTTCTGGTAGCATGTACCTCATTCCATCTGAGGCCAGATGTGAAATCATTTAATGTCCATATTTTTTTTAAACAATTGCCTGAAAACTCTTCAAAAGCTTTTGCCATCACAATAGTTCCAAAGCTGCTTTTACCATTTTAGGTGTTATAATAGCAAGATGCAAGATTGTATTTGCTTGCTAGGGTTACTAGCAACTGAAGGATTTAAACAACAGAAATTTCCTCATAGTTTTAGAGACTACTAAAACTTGACAGAGTTGTTTTCTACTGAACCCTCTCTCCTTGGCATACAGACAATTGGCTGCCTTTTCACACTGTCCTTGTTACTAATTCAAAAAAGGGTCTTTGCCTGGCTCCCACCAATTAATCCTCCACACATTTTAAAAGAGCCAATAATAGGTTTCAAGTGAGAAATGTTTATTATGGATCACATTATGGGGGAGAAGCAGCAACTGCCGTAAGCCACACTTGTTGCTCTGGGAAAGGCAAAGGTTCTGGCATTATAGAGTTGATTATGGGGGGAAGGGGGAAGCCTGTGGAGCGTCTGTTTCTCACTGGTAACTGGCTGGCTGAGGTATTAGGTGTTGCTGTTAGCCTCAACAACTGGAAGGGACTCAACAACTGGAAGGTAGCAAACTAGGATGAGATTCTGGGGCCCTGTAATTACCCTCACATGACCTTCTTCTGTACCTGTGCCAGAGACCAGCAATCAAGCACTTAAGATTCACTCTTGTAAGGATACTAGCCCTGTGGGATTAGTACTTCACCCTTATGACACTATTATCCATAATTACCTCTCTATCAGTTCTATATCCAAATACTGTCATTTTAGGGATTAGAGCTTTCACCTATGGCTTTGGGGGGAGGGATTCAGTTCATAACACTCACCTTTGGACACCCACAATTCATATCTGCCCACTGATTCCTGTCATTAGGGGGTATTACGATTTTCCATTCCTCATGAATAAGAAGATGGCAGAAATCAGCAGGCAATGTCCCAGTTTCCTGAAATGGAATGGAGAAAAATAATACTGCTTGTTAGCAGTGTTCATGAGAATTGGTTTATGGGTATTTTCCTAAGTTGCAGTCGTCTCTATTTTCATCAAGTAGTAAGAGTATATAATAAAAAAAATAAGTACTCATCACTGGCACAATATGAATAAAACTATATTCAAATAATGGGGAAAAGTTAAATACCTATTAAAACTTATTTTTAAAAGCAGAGTGAAAAACTCAAAAAATTGTTTGGCAATGATGTCAACTTCACTACATCTAGTCAACATAACACTAGAAGTCCTAGTCATTGGAATTAAACAAGAAAAAAAAAAAGTCATCCCAATTAGAAAGGAAGAAGTAAAATTACACTGACTGCAAATTACATGTTTATATGTGTAGAAAATGTTAGACCACACACACACACACACAGAATAAATGATTTCAGCAAAGTTGCAGTACACAAAACCAACAGAAATTAGTCATGTTTCTATACAAAATCAGTGAGTTACCAAAAAAGGAAAATTGAGAAAATCCTATTCTCAATCTCAGTACAAAGAGTAAAATACTTATGAATAAGCTTAACCAAAGAGGTGAAGGATCAGTAAACTGAAAAGCATTTTTTAAGAAAAGGGATAAAGGAAATTAAAGAAAACATTGCTAACATGGAAGGACATACAATGTTTATGGACAGGAGTATTCACAAGTTGCCTACAAACCTAGCATCTACACAGTCTACACCCCATCATCATACATACGTATACAAAGCTCCAAAATCATCACAATGTATAAGGGCCATCCCAAATTCTTTCATGCACAAACACAATCCTCCACACTCCTTGACAAGCTCCACATTTATACAGATACCCCCAACATACATAATAGTATCCACTACCCTTAATACACACTCAGAAACTATGTGAAGAAATCCCTGTAAGCTATAACATGGATGAGTTTGGTGACAAAGGCATGTGCTACCAGAATCTGCAGGGAAGACCTTGCTTCCCAAGGTAATGAAAATGTGGTTGGAGAGCAGTGTCGCTCCCAGTTCTTTTGAGGACTGCATTGACTACAGAGAACTGCATTGACCATGGTCCTCCCCATTTCAAGAAGACTCATTTCACTGGCATCAGGTAGAATAATTAGAACTCATGATTCCTTCCAATTGAGGTCAACTCTGAATACACAATCTGTCTCCTCAGTTCCTGTAAGGTAGACTAAAGCTACTTCACACTTAAAACTTTCCCTTGGCCCAATCCTTTTCCTTTTTGTACCATTCATAGGTGTCGTTTGGTGAACATTCTGTTCCCTAAACTCTGTATCCAAGTCTCTTTTCCAAGGAATCCAAACTATGGCAATAGTTATTTCTTCTTCAACCATCAATGAACATGGTAAAGATTCTCATGATTTTACATTCTAGTGGAGGAAATAGATAACACATAGTTATATCATATCATATTATGGACACAGGGTTTTTCTCTCTGAAATGTCCAGTCAGCAATTTGATTAAGGACTCTTGATTAACTAGGCTTTGCAGATACAAGTAAGGGAGGGTGAAAAATATGAGTTAAAAGAAAAAAGTGCACATTTCTGAATAGTTTCTGGGGTATTCTCAAAGGAATGACTCTGGACTTCCTTAAATACTACAGTTCTAACCTGGCCACACTACAGATTTGTTATTTAAAGCATGAGTGAGATGCAAGGAGATCTAGACCACTGACATCCAAAATAACATTCCCTCTGGGTCATCTGCTATGTGCAGCTATACAAGGTAAGTTTGGGCAAGGGGTGAGGAGGGGGCAATTTCTGACAACCTCAAACTCTGTGCATAAACTTAATAACTCACCAACATATTGATAGATGTACACAGTATATGCTCCTAAGATACAAGGAAACATGGGCCCTCCCTGGTGGCGCAGCGGGTTAAAGCACAGCACAAAGAAGCTTAAGCCACTTCCGCTTGAGTTCGATCCCCACCTGCCCTGGCGCAGCAGACCTCCCCAGACCCGCCTGCTGCTCCCCTCAGCAATGTACTTCGTCCATCTGCCTGTTCTGTGCCCCACTCTGTCTCTGGTGAATCCTCTCACCCTCCCCATCTCTGGCCTGTACCCGAGTTCTGTACGAATAAATAAATCTTAAAAAAAAAAATTTTAAAAATTTAAAAAAAGATACAAGGAAACATCTCCAGTATATCATATGTAACTACATATTAAACTAAGTACCAAATTATACATCTCTATTGTTTACATTTGTTTTTAATTCCTTTGTCATAGGAGTTACCAAAATGATCTTTATTGTTGATCTCATGAAATGTATTGCTAATGTTTTCTTCTATGTATTGTTGCAGGTGTTATATCTAAATCTTTAATCCATTTGGAATTTATTTTTGTGTAGGGTGTTAACAAGTAATCCAAGTTTATTCTTGTATCTGTTGCTTTCCAGTTTTTCCAGTGCCATTTAAGGGCCTCTTGCATTTTATGGTCATAGATGTTTTATCGTAGATTAGGTGCTGATAAATACATGGATTTATTTCTGAACTTTCAATTCTGTTCCATTGGCCCATGTATCTGTTTTTGTGTCAGTACCATATTGTTTTTAATACTGATGCTTTTATTGTAGTTTGAAGTCAGGTAACGTGATACCTCCAATCTCTCCTTTAGTCTTTATTCTGAATTGCTTTTGCAATTCAGGGTCATTTGTGGTTCATATAAATTTCAGGTTTTTTGGTTCAATTTCTTTGAAAAATATTGTGATTGCATTAAATTTGTATATCATTTTAGAAAAACAGTCATTTTTGATTATGCTAGTTCTCCACACACACCAGCATCGGATATCCTGCCATCCTTTTATGTTGCTAATTCTTTTAATAAAATCTTGTTGTGCTCATATGGATCTTTTTGCCTTTCTTGTTTAGTTGATTCTGAGTTACTTAATTCTTTTTAAGCAATTATAAATGGATTTTTAAAAAATTTGGTGTCTTAGCCTAAGGAGACTTTAAATGTCTAATCTGAGATTCCTTAATACCAGAAAACTTGAATGAAAGATGTCTTTATGGAGCTTAAGAAAACCACTCACAGAAGCTCTGATTAAATGTCATACTTGAGAATATACATAGAATCACTTTCTTACTACAGTTATGTAAACAAGCTAAGTGCAATAAACTAGATTTATTTCACAAATCAGTGAGTTTAACTTTATTTATTTATTGTGATAGTGACTTTAAGAAAAAGACTTTAAAAAAACCTGCATTTCAGTAGAAAACTAATGTCTATTACTAGAATCTAGTCTCATTAATTGTCTTTAAAGTTTTATTTACTTGAAAACGAGAAAATCACATATGGACAGCTTCCATATACATACTACAGCATGAGAAAAGTTCACTCAGAAAAGTTCAACAAAATACCCAATGACATAATCCAAGACAGTCAAATATAGCACACCAGGAAAATCCACCACACTGAAAGTACATCTGCATTCTACCAAAAATGCTTTCAACTCAAACTTAGAGATTTTCTCAATTGGCTACTCTCCAAACTCAGAAACTGAATTTGTAATATGTTGAACTATTAACCTTTGTTTTTCTATTGTCCCATAGAAATGCCTCTCAGTAATTTACCTGAATGTTCACTTCAGTCATCCAGAACCCTAACTTAAGTTGAAGCACACCTGCAAAACTGCCTCATGAAATCACCTCATAATCATCCTGTTCTCAGTAATCAAGAGGATATGTATATGTTAATGCATCATATTATGCCCGTGCAAGTATATAAAAGAGAAATTGTAGATTGACTTGCAACAATAAAACCTGAATCTGACTCTGACTTACTTGATTAGTCAAATCTTGGCTTCTCGCAATCTCTGCTCTGAGACATTTTCCAAGACCTGGTTATTCTTTTTACACTCATCACGCAACCTCTCTAGTGCATGGTACACTCTTGAGGGCTTTAGATACTTGTCAGCAACCACCCACACATCAAATAATATCCATCAGGAGATCAAACTACTAGATGAAATAATAATACAAATGATGAAACGTGAGTACGTGGCCCTCTGTTCTATCAATTCAATCAATGAAAACAACAAATATGTGATTTCCCAATTTATGATGGTAACAGGATAACAGTATTTTGGTTGATGATACTCTCAGTCTAAGAAAAAGACCAAAATAGTGACATTGTTAAAATAAAAAACAAATGTTTACTGCAGCCAAAATGGAAAATAGTAGCATGATGTTTCAACACACATACAAAAGAACAGAAATATTACATGATCCAACTATTCCACTGCTGGGTATTTACCTGAGGAATATAAAAACACCAACCAAAGAGACATGCACCCCCATGTCCACTGCAGCATTATTCACAATATCCAGAAGTTGGATACAACCCAAGTGACCATCAAAGGATATGTGGATAAAGATGATGTGGTATTTATACACAAAGGAATACTATTCAGCTATATAAAACAAAATGACATTTTTCCATTTGTAACAACACAGAGTATGAGACTAAGTGAAATAAGTTAAATGAAGAAAGACAAATACCTTACTACTTCATTCAGGTGAAGAAACAATGAACCAACACAACAAAAACAAACTCTTAGACTACAAGATCAAAATAGTGGTTCCCAGAAGGGAAAGAAGGGTGTGGGTAAACTGCATACAAGGGGTCAATTGGGGCCTCCCTGGTGGCACAGGTGTTAAGGTCTCAGTGCTATCAAGCAATGACCAGCCACTGTGTCATCAGTTTGATCTCCAGCCAGGAAACTGACGCACATGGCCCAGCAGGCCTTGCCTGCTGTTCCCCTCAGCAGTGTATTTCAATAGATCTGCCTATTCTGCTGCCCACTCTGTCTCTGGTGAATCCTCTTATCCCCTATACCTCTGGCCTATACTTACTGTATGCATAAGTAAGTAAATCTTTTTCTTAAAGGGGATCAATTGTATGGTGATGTACAGAAACTGTACTTTTGGTGATAAACAATGTAGTACATACAGACATTGATATATATATATACATCTGAAATGCAGATGTTACAAATCCAATATTACTTTAATAAATAATTTTTAAAATGAAAACTAGTCTTCATTCCTGAGAAGACAAAACCAGTCTGGTCATAGAAAAGAAGGTGTAATTCTGCTTGGTCAAGATTAACTTCATATGGATCATTTCTTCATGTCTCTGGAAATCATAATCAAGTATTTATGTTTTCATAAATGATAATGAGGTAACTACTAACCAATTCACTATCATTTAATAAAATTCTAGTATTACCGCATGATATAATCTACTTAATCTACACCAGAGCCTTATTCCATATTTTGGATGGTTTCTCCCAGTTTGAAAACAACTTTTGGTGAGTGCACAAAACTCTTTTCCTGATGAGTGAAATAATGCTGTATAATTTATTAAAGAAATTACCCAGAGAAAATTGAGGATTCAACCTCAGAATACAGCACTAGGTAGTCTCTGAGTGCTAGTCCTACCCTTTAGATGTTCTGATCTCAGGTATGCGGGGGTTGTGCAGGTGGGTGCAGGTGGGCTACATGCACAAAAGGAGATACAAAAATCTTCCATGCAAGGTTACATATAAAGGAGACCTCTGGTTATATTCTGGTTCCAGGAAAAAGGACTCTAACAAAAACTGCACTTACAGTGCAGTCAGACTTTAGCTCTGTGAGCTGGGACTAGCAGAGCACCTGGGGCTTACAGAATTTCTTTCTGCTCTCAAGCAGCTTACAGCTAAGAAGGCAGGGCTGCATGCTCCTGTTTCTTTCTGTGCGTCAGAACAACTGGGGGTGGGTCTTGGCATACTGATAGAGCTGCATGTACTTCACAGGCACAGGAAAAGGCTTTTTTTGTTTTTTTTTTTTTTCCTTTTTGGTGACTTTAAGCATCTGCAGGCACCAGGTCAGCAGTTTTACAGTGCAGAGACAACTCTGACAAGGATTATTCTTTCAGTCCACACTACTTTGATGAGTCACTGGTTTTACTTTATGTCTAAACCCTTGACACTTAATAACCCATTACTGAAAATGCAAATATACCCTACAAACGGTATCTAATTTTCCATGCTCCTTGTATACCCACACACACATTCAATATACATATCTCACCACAAACCACTAATATACCCATGGTTCCTAACATACTACAATTATGGGAAAATTTACTCTATATCCCCCAGTACACATATAGCCTCGCATGACCTATATACACATAATTCAACATTCTCAAATACACTACAACTTCACCACTGTGCAAAATACAGATTCATAAAAACCCCACCCCACAAAAGCCATTGATCTGCACATACCAAAATATCTATAAAATGGGGTGTCACAGGGCCCTCCCTGGTGGCGCAGTGGGTAAAGCGCAGCACTGCAAAGCTGGCCGCAGCTGCTTCAGTGCAAATTCAATCACAGGCCTGGGAGGTGACCCACATGGCACAGCAGACCTCTCTGTCTCGCCTGCTGTTTCCCTCAGCAGTGTACTTCATTGATCTGCCTCTTCTACTCTCCACTCTCACTATGGTGAATCCTCTCACCACCCCCCACACCTCTGGCCCGTACCCCAGTTCTGTATGCATAAATAAATAAATCTTTAAAAAGGGGGGGTCTCACAAAAGGAATACATACTAACAATTCCAGGAAATTACCAAAGGAAATACATACAGCAGTTCTTGTGCACAAAGTTGACTTTGCAAGTGCCTCTGTTTTTCTTCTATTCCTAATAAACCTGTCCTGCTAAAATCTAAAATACATACAAAAAGTACATACAGCATGCCCTGAACACATTATGAGAACATACAAAATAAGTGCCCTTATACCACAAGGACCTCTCCCAACAATGCAAATTTGGCTGCTAAGCCAGCCAAACCACATTACATACAGACACAAATTTCTAAAATACAGGGGGAAACATGCACACACAAACATCTTGCAAAGACCTAAATAACAAATGCAAAACCTCAAATTCTCTAAAAATATGAATTACAATTCAAACCTTCTGAATAACAACTCCAATAACTCACAAAAAGGCACTCAACTTAAAATGCCCAGTTAGCCCCAAAGTATTCACACAGGTTATCACCACACACAAAAATACATTCATCATATTACCACACTAAGTACACAAATAATGCCCAAATGAGGAATTCACATAAACACATTTCATGTGCCTACCAAATCATGACATTTTCAGAATAACCCTGCTGTGAATATCACAATCTCCAGGAGATCAACAAATATGCATATACGATTCACATTTACAGATACAACCACGCACAAATGTCATCTCCAAAAAAACCCCACAAGACTTACTGAACCCCACAAGCCTGTGAACAAACACATATGTAGCTCATACTACAAACACACCCACACAGTGACTTCACAAGTGCAGAATACAAACACAAAACCTCCAAAGCCCAAATGAACAGTGTTGTGTTGTCAAAAGCCATCTCACACTAAAGGAAGTAGGATATAAATATAATACACATAAACATAATTGATTTTAACCTTATCAGGAATGTTTGAGATTCCTGACAGATAATTAAAACCTTACGTTCTTCATCTTTCATTGTAACTTTTACCTACACAATTGATTCTTAACTAACGTTTTTATTGATTCACCTGCTCTTACACTACAGCCCATCCCATCCATCTATGCAACTCCATTATCACCTGGTAACACCTGAGTATGACTGACACGATTAGATTTAGCAAAGTCACAATTAGAATATAATGATTGGGTGACTTTAGGTTACTAAGAATAAGTGAAAGGGTGAGGGCAGACATGCATGATTTCACTCCTACAATCACCTGAGTGTCTACATGGGAAGAGGTAATGATTTCAAATTTGGAAATATCTCCCTCTGTCTTTTACGTTATTCAGAAAATAAAAAACAACTTGAGACTTGTGTTAACCCAGGTATCCTTTAACCCTTTTGGACAGAGCATCCTGATCCAAAGTGCATTGGAGTGCCGTGTGTGCCGCCCACAGACACTGAGGCTCCCAACTAGCTAGGGGGATGTACCCAAATACTGGTGGGGGACTCCCACAGAGACACGGATACAGAAAACTAACACAGAAAAGGGGCACAGAGGAGCCAACGTTGGAGCCAGAGACTGCGCGCGCGTTACCTCCATGTTGATACAACCGACAGGCTGGACCACACGCCAACACTCCAACCGAAGGACCGTTGGGGTAACGCCCCCTTCCGGCGCAGGCGCATCGGGCACCTAAACAGCCGCAACGGACGCTGGGAGCCGTTCGGTGATGACGTTCACCCGCTCCAGACCTCCGCCCTACGTGGGCGCGCACGTGCTTGAGGGGCGGGGCGCGGGGAACTGTCCCAGGTGGCCCTGGCAGGGGACTAAAGTCAGGGAGCCCGGGGACTTCCTGGTAGCTGCTCAGGCTCCAGCGCCAGCGAACTCCAGAATTTTCGTGCGATGCCTCCTTAGAACCAGCGCGAGTGCAAGGAGCACTCACGCTTTGAAATTACAAGCGTGCACACCGTCATGCAAGTAGAGATGACACTTGAGGAATGGTTTTGGGGAGCTTAACCCAAAAGCGCAAATTGGGCAGATGCTTCAACCTTTTGCACTGCATTTCCTTGATTCTTGTTCATGCCTTTCAAAACAGCGTGTGCTCTCCCTGGCCATTCCTAGAAGGTTCCATAAAAGAACAGTTCTGCCAGAGAATTGTAGACCAGGCAAACAATCTAAGAGGCATGCACCTGAGAACAGTCCATGCTGCAGAGAGGGCAGACAGCACCACGGGAATCACTGTGGAGGCTGGAGCCTCACAGGGACAGCGAGCTCTCTGGAACTACTCAGTGCAAATATTCACCGCGCACCTGCATTTTGAGAATTCAGGGAAAACATAGAAATCATGTGACAGCTTGCAGACTCAGATACTACTTTCTTACAAGCCCTGAGCAAAACGGGAAGTAGTGTGGGCCTTCCTTGCAATTTACTTCAATTCAGCAACGGTTTAATTTTCATACAATTCGCCTTATGACGCAAATTGTTTCTTCCCAGAGGACAAGACATCTTAAACACACACACACACACACACACACAAAGCAACTTTATCAGTGAATGTGCACAGTGTTGCACAGTCCTTCTAAGCTCCCTTCCTTCCAGATGGAACTACCAGTCAAGGTCTACTCCCACTGCAGCGGCCAGAGAAGCTGGTCCACCCAGGATTTGGTGCAGACCGCTGCATTGTCATCCTCATTCCCTTGATGAATTTCCTCCCACTCCTCTCTCTTCACTACCAGGAACATGAATGCTACTTGCTACCATTTCACATGACAAAGTGACCTTGACTCCCACTGTGAAAAGAAGAGCCAGGCTCTTGCAAGGGGCTTAGCTGATGGCCAGGCAGGTGAGAATGTACAATGATGAGCCTGGATTCCAAAGAGCAAGGGGGTAGGTGAAGGCTGGAAAGTGGGCAGCCAATGAGGACTTGCAGACTCAGATGGTCCCTAGAGCAGGAGGGTCATGTCATGGGACTCAGACACTGGTGAGTGGCATCCTCGTGTGTCTTGGAGCACATGCCTAAAAGGGAATATTAGCACTTGGCCAAACCAAAGCTCTAGGGTGATACGGCCCTTTAACGTAGCAGAGGGCATTTTCTGTCTTATTTCTGTCCCTACCACAGGAAGCCCAGAGACTCTTGTGCATGATGACTTCAAAAACTTATGTAGCACCTGACGATGCAGGTTGTCTGTGTCAGTCCAATTGTTAGCAAGAAAGTGGTGGACCAAGATGCACACTTGAGTGTCTTTATTGCAAGGTCACGTTCCGACAGGAGTAGAAATTTGTTGATCTCACTATGTCACGTGACAGGGCTTCCAGCAAAGCGTCTGCCAGAGTCCGCAGAGCTCCCAGAGCCCCACAGCACAGCCTGGGCACACAGGCATGTCTGCTAAAGAGGACCGGCTAGTGCGCTTGCAAATGGTGAGGGCCGTGCCAGTCCTAGTCGCACCCGTAACACCTGGATGTCCATAGACTGTCTTGTGGACTTTGTTCAGCAAAAGAACCCTCTATTGGAGTAGGTTTGGAGTAGGTCGGGACCAAGCGTAAACAGACGAGTTTGGGGGACACACAACTATATTGCAGGATAAAAACTGAAGTAAGGAAACGACCAGTAAAACTTCACGCTGCAAAGTGGAAAAACTACGCACCGATTAGCTAAAGGTGGCCCATGGCCACTGTATTGCCACTGAATGCTTTCTGAAGGTGTTCTGGTTCTGCCTTCCTGCCAGAGCCCTCATGGAATGTCCCTCCCAGAGCCCCCCCCACCACCAGGCCCACCTGGCCAGGCCCCTCCCCCACTCGGAATGTCTTGACTCCCACATTCTAACCCTGTTTAAATTCAAACTCTGCTTCCTCACTTGGCTCCTTGCATCTGTTGGAACCAGGTGACTCTCTGCGTGTCTCTCTGCTGTTCTCGCTGTGGAGGCTGACAGGCAGCTGTGGGCTGCAGCCGCACCCCTGGGGACTGCTTCACAAGGTAGGGCTGGGGGTTTGGAGGAGGGGGGAGTTCAGAGTCCCAACCACCCTTCAAGTTCTTGAACTTTAAACGTGACTCTCCTGCTGGGCACATGGGGTTTGGATGGAGCAGCGGGAGGTGGGGAGCAGGTGGGCCAGGTAACTCAGGGGAACACCTGGGTGTGGGCAGAGGCAGGCAGCAGGCTCGCTGGGGCTTCCTGAGGGGGACAACCACTGTGGCCGTGTTCGCGGCGGTCATGGCACTGGCACAGAGAGGGTCAAGGGGGACAGCTGGGCGCTGTGTGGCCGACTCAGGCCCCTGGACTTGCCCGCCTTATCTTCCGGAGGCATTTGAAATGCGGCCAAGGGGGTCTGAAGTGGGCCACAGGCAGGGTTGGTCTAAGCTAGAAAACTGTTAGTGAGCGTTTGTGTGCCCGCGTGTGCGCTGAAACGTCCTCCCCAGAGCAGGCTCAGTTCACTGCACCTGCCAGAGCAGGGCCGTTCTTGGAGCCCGCAGAGGGCTTCCCCTTCAGCTGGGTGGCTGTTGGCTGGGTCAGCGGGAAGCGGCAGCTGACAGCAGCCACACAGGGCTTGGCTCCTGCGCGCCCCTGGGTGTCCCCTTGTGGAAACTACCTCCGCAGACTCCTTCCCTTGTCAGGCCCTCGTTCCATGGTGGTGGGGAAGGTTTGCTCTTACTGTCCATCACTGCTTCATGCAGGACACAGAGGGCTGGGTTGGTGTTTGGGCATTGTGGGTGCACGCTGACTCCTTGGAAGGGGAAGGAGAAACTGCCAGAAAGAGGAGGAGACTTTTCTGTAGCTGTCATAGGCCTATCAGTTAGAGAGCCACGAGGGGCTGCTTCCCACAAGCACGTGCGCTCACAGGGTGTCTGTGGACGGGCTGGGGAGCAGGGCCTGGCCAGGGGCCAGGAAGGCTGTTTCTCAGCCACAGGGGTCAGCAGTGGGGAACAGGAAGCCGGACGTGGGGGGAAGAACCCAGGCTGAGGCCGAGCACGCACCTGAGTGCCCGAGCTCACGGCATGTTTCCTGGGCCACGGCCCGCTCGGGCCTCGCTCT